ATAACATATGATGTCGTGCAGCTGTAGTAGTGGTTGCACAATTTTGAAATTCCGAAATTTTAACAATTAAATCTGGAGGGATTTCTGCCAAAACCTGCTGGGTTCCAAGATTTGTCCCTGAGTCTATGGGATCATGGCCATTAAGCACCTTGATCAGGAGCCAGAGAGGCCATTTGTGGACAGCGACTCAGGGTCTTGTTGGGATGGGGAAGAAAGGGCTGGCTCCACCCCACCCCGTGAGGTCCCACATGTCTTGTCACTGAGTGCCCAAACCTGACTGTCCAATGGCCTCTGGAAGATGGCAGCTACCGAACTGCCAAGGGTGAGCAGGCGGAGGGACAGCACCCTTTCCCCCCTGGGATGGCCCGGCAACAGTATCCTACTGCGGGGTCCGGACTCATTTCTGCCAAAAGCCACTGGGTTTCGAATTTTTTTCTAAGTCTCTGAGATCACAGCCGTAAAGCAGCTTGATCAGAAGCCAGAGAGGCCGTTTGTGGGCGGTGACTCAGGGTCTCATTAGGAAGAGGAAGAAAGGGCAGGCTCCACCCCCATCCTGTAAGGCCCCACGTATCTCGTCACTGCGGGCCCAAACCTGACTGTCCAGTGGCCTCTGGAGGATGGCGGCCACCAGGCCACCAAAGGGAACAGGCCAAGGCACAAAATCTGTTCCCAGTTGGGGAACAGCGCTGTTCCCAGTGCTGGTAATCTACTACAGGGAATGGACACATTTCTGGCAAAAGCTGCTGGGTTCTGAGATTTGTTCTGAGTCTCTGAGATCTTGGCTATTAAAGTCACTTGATCAGGAGCCAGAGAGGTCGTTTGTGGGCGGCCACTCAGGGTCTTCCTGGGGTGGGGAGGAAAGGGTCAGCTCCACTCCCATCCCGTGAGACCCCACGTGTCTTGTCACTGCGGATCCAAACCTGACTGTCCAGTGGCCTCTGGAGGATGGGGGGGGGGCACTGGGCCACCAGGAGGAACAGGCCAAGGCATAAAACCTATTCCCACCTGGGGTGGCCCAGCACTGGTAACCTACTGCAGGGACTGGACTCATTTCTGCCAAAAGCCACTGGGTTCCGAGATTTATTTCTGAGTCTCTGGGATCATGGCCATTAAGCGGCTTGATCAGGAGACAGAGAGGCCGTTCATGGGCGGTGACTTGGGGTCTTGCTGGGGTGGGGAGGAAAGGGCCAGCTCCACCCCTATCCTGTGAGGCCCCGCATGTCTCATCACTGTGGGCCCTAACCTGACTGTCCAATGGCCTCTGGAAGATAGCAGTCACAGAGCCACCTCCTGAGAGCAAGCGCAGGGACAGCACCCTTTCCCCCCTGAGGTGGCCCTGTGACAGTATCCTACTGCGGGGTCTGGACGCATTTCTGACAAAAGCCACTGGGTGTCGAGATTTGTTTCTGAGTCTCTGGGATCATGGCCGTTAAGCAGCTTGATCAGGAGCCAGAAAGGCCATTAGTGGACGGTGACTCGGGGGTCTCGTTGGGACAGGGAGGGAAGAGCTGGCTCCATCCCCATGAGGCCCCATGTGTCTCGTCACTGCCCAAACCTGACTGTTGAGTGGCCTCTGGAGGATGATGGACACCAGGCCGCCAGGGGGAACAGGCCAAGGCACAAAACCTATTCCCACCTGGGGTGGTCCGGCACCGGTAACCTACTTCAGGGACTGGATGCAATTCTGTCAAAAGTCACTGGGTTTTGAGATTTGTTTCAGAGTCTCTGGGAGCATGGCCATTAAGCAACCTGATCAGGAACCAGAGAGGCCATGCCTCCAATTATATAGCTGAGCTGGAGGTGGTTTGTGGGTGTGTCTCCCACATACCTAACTTTTGGCCATTTACTTCCTTGGTAAACTTTGTCCCAAGTTTTTGGGGTCTGGACAAAGGCACAGCAGCAATTTTGGAGTATCTAGAAGTCTGAAGGCGCCATCAGGCTGCTGAAGCACTAGCCTCACAGGTACAGACTGACATGCTGGGGCACCATACCACCCTAAGCTTGAATTTTAAAGCACTCAACAAGGTTGCCTGTGATGATGATATTGCAAATATTCTCTTTCAATTTTGTTTGAAAGTGTATGTTTTAACAAGTTAAAAAGAAAAAACTGACTTACCTGTGAAAATACAGGTCTTTGCATCTCAAGATCATCTTTAAATATCCTATTTTAAGGCCATAGAGATAACACTAAGGCTAAAGGTTAAAGCACTTGACTTGCTTGCAGGAAACCTCTATTCAATCCCCGGGGATGCAAATGGTCCTCCATTTTCATGTCTGAGCACCATTAGGAATGATTCCTGAATATAGAACCAGGTGTAAGCCCTGAGCACTGCTGGATATGATACACCCACTCCCTCTCCCAGCTTACCATTTCTTATTTGTTATATAATCGGCTATATATATATATATATATATCCTATGAAATGCATAATGTTATATGCTACAACATTATGTATTTTATTTTATATAAAATGTTCCAAGAGATTCCTCACCAATACCAATCTGAAGCTTCATACACTAGTGCACTTTTAACCAATTATTTTCTTTCTTTCTTTCTTTCTTTCTTTCTTTCTTTCTTTTTTTTTTAACCACACCAGGTGATGCTCAGGGGTTACTCCTGACCACTCAGGGATCACTCTTGGCAGTGCTCAGAGGACCATAGGGGATGCTGGAGATTCAACCTGAATCAGCTATATGCAAACAATGCTATACTCTCTGTACTATCTCTCGAGCTCCAGTTCTTGTCTTTTCAAACATAGACATTTTTGTGGGAAAAACTATTCAAATTAAAATTCTTTTTCTTCATACGCAATCTACTTTCATTTCAAATCCGTGGATCTCAAGACCATCCTAATATATGCTTATCTTATATGCTTATTTCTTATCTACAAGAGACTGGACAAATAAATGTTCCATAAACCGGAGTTTACACCTCATATTTATTTTTTATATTAACTTTTTCCCAGGTGGCAGAGAAATTCTGACATCAATCTTCAGAGAATGAATAAATATTATGGAGAAACATTGCCAGCTAAACATTTTTCAAATCCCAGATAAAAACCAGTCTCTTCATCAATAATCTCTACTAGATAAAATAAAATTTGGAATAGCAATATAACAATTTCAACCCTATTTTATTTTCAGTGCTTAAACTCTTGATTACCAACTACCCCACCAGATGTTTATTCATTATTAACTTTAAATCATATGAACCATTAAACACTGAATGAGTTGTCAAGAGATCTGTTTGTGAAGGTCCCACTTTGCAAATAATTTGCTAAATGACATAAAGTCATTTAATCTCTCAGATTCTTAATCTCCTTATTTAACTGAGACTTCAAGTATTAGATGATACATCAGTTTCTTTTGGTCTCAATAAGTCTAAGATTCTGTTCCTAAAGAGGAAATACCGAATTAGATGAGACTTCTTGAAATTAAGAATGTCAACGAAAGAAATTCAATCAGATTTTTTTTTTTTTGGCTTTTGGGTCATACTCAGTGATGCTTAGGGGTTACTCCTCGCTCAGTACTCAGGAATTACTCCTGGCGGGGCTTGGGGGACCATACGGAATGCCAGAGGTCAAACCTGGGTTCAACTTCGTGCAAGATAAATGTCCTACCTGCTGTACTATCACTCTGGCCCCAGAATTTAATCAGATTTGATTTCTTACTGTTACATAACTGGATAGAATGCTGCTGCAGAATAATAGCAAGAGAACACTAGTGGGAAATAACACTAAGGTCTAACATTTTCTTAAGAGGAAATACCAAAGTATTATTCTTGCCACTAATCTGACTCAATTGTAGTAAAAGACTTTTACTGTCAGTGACTGCTTCAGTTTCGATCCCAGACTGGCTGCGTTTTCCAGTATACTGAAAGACACCTATTTTCCTAATCAAACTGACAGAAGTATCTATTCAGACACCAGAATCAAGATGCAAAAGAATTCCAAGGAGATATTGATAAATAATGTCAATGCAAGAAGAAAGGAAGTGTACAAGGTTAAAGATTAAACCTGGGAATTGGTTCTCCCAAACACTGGTGATGGTGAAGAACTAGCTGTAGTTATAAATCTTACTCTTCCTTCCGGCTCCCTTACTTAGCTCAAGGCTGGCCCACAGCCAGCTAAGGTACTAGCATCACACTCTTTTTATTTATTTTTGATTTTTGTTTTTGAACCACACCTGGTGATGCTCAGGGGTTACTCCTGACTGTACTCCAGAATCACTTCTGGTGGTACTCAGGAGACCGTAGGGGATGCCAAGGATCGAGCCTGGGTCTGCGGCATGCCTCAAGGCAAGTGCCTCCCCTCCTGTACTGTCTCCCCAGCCCCACTACCAGCACACTCTTAACGCTGAGAATACAGGCCTCAGCTGTATTCACCCCTGTTCAGAACAAAGGAAACGAGCCCTGTCTCCTTTATGCACCAACGCTCCGCTGCGGATTGTGAACCTAGCGTGCCTCTGTTACAAGGCTGTGCCCTTTCTTGAGCCATTCCCCGTTGACTGCTTTGCAAAAGGAGCTGGACACCAGGTCACCAGGAGCGTGCTGGCATGCAAGAGCTGCTGAACAGGCTGCGCACCAGGGTGGATCCCCTCTGCTGCTGTATGGCTGGCCCAGGAAACATGCTGGAAGGTCTCTCTCTGTCACACCACTCGGGCTTAGAAGAGTAACCTAGGAAGGACGAAAAGAAGAAAATACCCTCCTGAAGGAAGAAGCAGGGTGAACTAGGCCAGCTCCCAGAGAAGAGCATGCAGTAGGAAGGGAAGCCCATCCTAGGGCCCCGGTGGCCTCTAGTGGGAGCCGCACGGCGGCCTGCGAGGCGCGCGTCTCCGCAGCCTGGAGCTAAGAGCGCGAGCGGGTGACGAGATATGACGCTTCAAAGGTTGCTGGGGTGCATCGTGGCCCGGGTTCTAAATGGCTTCTCGATTCCGTGAACCTCTCGTCGGGAAGCGGCCACTGTGACTGTGCCTTGGGCGGCCTTGTGGGCCGGGGAACCATGAGCCCCAGGGGCACGGGCTGCTGCGCCAGGTTGCTGCTGACGCTGGCCGGGCTGCTCCTGGGGGTTCCCAGGGCCGCGTGCGGGGCCAATGTCACCGCCCTGCAGGAGGGGCCCGGCCCTGGGGTGGCCAGCGAGGGGGACCCCGAAGGCGACAGCGAGAATGACCCAGACTCCAACACCGGGCTTGCATCCGCGGATAACGTCCCCGAGAATGCCGACAATCAAGGCTACAGTCTGGTGGGGACAGACAAGCAGGACTCCGGTGATATGGATGCCGAGAACGAACCCCAAGAGGAGCCCGAGGAAGGTGAGGGCACCCAGGCTTAATCTTTCACTCTGTGGAGGGCACAAGGTCACAGCCCCGCCCGCTTGCTCTTTTGTCTGGGGATTGGGAGAGGAGAGGATCCGGTTGAGCCCTTTGGCAGACTGCAGCCCTGATCAATGAAGCTCCCCTCCCTGCCCCACCATGGCCCAGAGCAAGATCTTCAAAGCCTCAGCAAGTTAAGTAAGCACATACATAGAAATCGTTGCAGAAATACTGTTAAGTATTGCTCTGGATAAGAGCAAAACGGGTTACTTCTTTGAAGTCCCACCCCACGCCTCTGTTTTCAGGCTGAGCTTGACATCAGGGTGTATGTTCCTTGGGAATATGTTTTTTTGTTTTTTTTTAAATTTTTTATTAGTGAAACACCATGAGGTACAGTTGTAGACTTACAAAACAAGACAAAAAACATATTCCCAAAGCACAAAAATTTGGGAATATGTTTTTTTTTTTTTTTTTGGTCTTGTTTTGTTTTTCCTTAGCGTTTCTTTTACGTTCCATTTACTCGAGGTCATCCTTCATTTTCTGCGTGCACGTTCTGGGAGTGTCAGTGAAACTCAGAGTTCCCTTGGGTGTGATCTATCCCGATCCCAGTTTCCTGGCCCAACTGCCCGCAAGCACGAGTCAGTTTCAGGCAGCTGAGCGCCAGGTGGTGGTTTATTTCTAAGCTCAGCTTTAGACCATAAATGAACGCTCGCGGCAGAAAACACTCAGCCAGGGATCCAACTAGTGGCAGTGTTAAAGGATATTGTTCACCAGGGGAGAGTGAGCCTCCGCATGGCACACAAGCTTGGCTTTTTCGGCTCGCTCATTAAAAAATAACACTCGACAAGCTTTTGTACATGCCATATTGATCAGTGACACACATGCTGGTAGATGAAAGGTCATTTGCAGGTTAGGAGACACATAAAGATGGATGTTCCCTTCCCCTATATGTAACCCAACTCAAAGCCTTCTTTTCCTGGTCAGGTTTTATGCCTGTATGGATAGGTGCTGTTTTGATCTCCCTGCTGTTTGCTCATGACCAAGAGTGAACCTGAGCTTTTTTTTTTTTTTTCCCAGTTTCATTATCGTTACATTGCAGAGTTCTTGGAGGGCTTCTTGGCTTTGCAAATGTGAATAAAGGAACTAGGGACGAAAAAAACTTGTCCTAAAGCTTAGTAGCTATTTCCTTTGCTGCCTTCCCCTCCACTCCCCTCTTGTCTCCTCTTCTTTCCCACCAACCCCTGCCTCTCGTTTCAAAAATTATTGGGCCACCGCTTGGGCTTACTTCTGGCTTTGCTCAAGGAACACTCCTGGGGAGACTCGGGGAGATTGCATATGGTGTCTGGGATTGAATTGAAAACCCCACCCACCCAGACTGAGTGCAAGATAAGAGAAGAGCTCTGTCTGCTCTGTCTCTCCAGCCAGCCCCCCTAGACTAGTTGTCTCTTCACTCTAGTTTTATAAACAATTGAGGAGTTTTTAAAAAATTTTTATTTATTTATTTATTTTTGCTTTTTGGGTCACACCTGGTGATGCACAGGGGTTACTCCTGGCTCATGCACTCAGGAATTACTCCTGGCAGTGCTTAGGGGACCACAGAGGATGCTGGGAATCAAACCTGGCTTGGCTGTATGCAAGGCAAACACCCGACCGGCTATGCTATCACTCCAGCTCCAATTGAGCAGTTTTATTTTTTTTAATATGTTAAGAATTGTTTTATTAAAACACAGTGAGATATACAGTTACAAGTTGTTTGTGAAAGTAGATAAAGGACCAAATATAATGACCTCTCATTATCTGTATTGTAAACCATAATGTCCATAAGTAGAGAGTAAGGGGGAAATTGTCTTAGAGGCTGGGAAAGGGATACTGGGATCATTGGTGGTGGAAAATGTGCACTGGTGGAGGGATGGGTGCTTGGTCATTGTATGACTGAAACTCAAACATGAAAGCTTTGTAACTGTAGCTCATGGTGCTTCATTAAAAAAATAAAAAAGGTTGTTCATGTGTTTCACTTATATGTTTCAACATCCATCCCTCCATCCCTTCATCATCATCGGTGTCCCCAGTTTCCTTCCCCACAAGTCACTTTTCAAGCCCTCCCCCCAGTCAGTAATTCAGCAGTTTTAGCATTAAGCTGGCCTAAAGCTAGTTCTAGCTCTAAAGTTGTAGCCTTAGCTCAGGCAATGGATTTATAATGCCTTACATTCAAATGCAAAACATGGTCAAACTGGCTTTTTTCTACCTTGATTTTCTCATCTCTAAACTTCTAGAAGTTGTGTTATTTTTTGTATATAATTTTGTACACAGCTGACTTTTCCTAGGAAAAGAATTCAGGACTTTAAATAGTTTGAAGTGTTTGAAATCTGGAAATTTTCAGAACCTTTATTAAAATTTGGCAAAGCATCTTTTACCCACAATGAACCAGTAAAAATAGTTATCATCACTTACAAGTTATTATTAAATAGATCAATAGCACAGCGGATAGGGCATTTGCCTTGCATGTAGCCCATGAGGCATACCCAAGTTTGATTCCTCCACCCCTCTCAGAGAGCCTGGCAAGCTACTGAGAATACCTTACCCGCAGGGCAAAGCCTGGCAAGCTACCCGTGATGTATTCAATATGCCAAAAACAGTAACAACAAGTCTCATGATGGAGACATTACTGGGCCCGCTCGAGCACATTGATGAACAATGGGAGGACAGTTTAACATATTTGACAAAATAATGATAATAGGATCATGAAAATAACTTCAAGAATTTTCATAAGAATTGCTGACACCTGAGGATAGTAGATACACGGGGCAGATAAATTTCTCCATAGCTGGAAGCCGGCCTCATGAGCAAAGGGGAGAAGGCAACTGGAATAGAGAGGGGATCACTAAGAAAAAGATGGCTGGAGGAATCAGTTGGGATGGGAGATGTGTGCAGAAAGTAGATAAAGGACCAAACATGATAACTTCTCAGTGTCTGTACTGCAAAACATAATGCCCAAAAGTAGAGAGAGATTATGGGGAATCATGTCAGCCATGGAGGCAGGATGAGGGTGGGAAAGAGAGGGTATACCAGGGATATTGGTGGTGGGGAATGTGCACTGGTGGAGGGATGGGTGTTTGATCATTGTGTGATTGTAACCCAAACATGAAACCTTGTAACTATCTCACGGTGATTTAATAAAATTTTTTTTTAAAAAAGAATTTAAAGGTATAGGAAGAGGAAAGAAAAAAAAGAGGGGAGGAGGAGAGAGCTGAGGGAGGAGAAAGGGGCATAAGAGAAGGACTGATGAAGAGGAGGGAGGGAAGAGGAGAAAGAAGGAAGAGGAATGAAAAGAGAAGGGGGAAGAACAGGAGAAAGGAGGAAAAGAGGAAGGAGAAAAAAATTAAAGATGCAATTCCTCAGTTTTTACTCTATAGTTTCTGCTTTGGAAGATGTATATACCTTAATGAGCAAAGTAGTTTGAATCCAAATAAATGTTCATCAGCTGTTATACATGAAACTGAAATGTATCTGTATCTAAAGATTTTTAAGACATAATAGGTTCTTGCTATCATCAGAGTAATCTGGTTCATTTTGCACTTGCATTTCAAGACAATATTTTTGAAACCTATGAAGGCAAACACATATATTTTGTTGAAGACTGCCACCTGCTTTACTCCATAATTGCAAATGTTTTCATTTTTATTTTATACAGGCAGACTAGAATGGTTGGTCCAATTAATTTATTTGGCCATCTGTTTTATATCGTCTCTTGTATACATACCTGCCATCATGATTTGTCCGTTTATTAACCTTATTGAATTAATTTTGTTGCATAAGCAAAATTAAAACAAAGGGAAAAAAAGCTTTAAAAAAAAAAAGAAAGGAATACTGGGTCTGATCACATACCTGGGAGGCAGAGAATCTGAGCTAAATCTCTAGCACTTCATGATTCCCTAAAGACAACCCAGATGCCCAGATCCACCCCACCCTCTCACCAAGAAAGGAAAGAATCCTGCCCATATCTTTAAGCAAAACAGTAATGTCTGGCTTATTTTCATAAGACACGTCAGGATTAAGTCCTTGTTGAAAGACTAACTAGATGAGTGAACCATGTGTCCTTTTTATCCTTAGAAATATGACATCCGTTCATGGATTGTTGAATTAGAAAAATTTCATCTAGGATATCCATCTAAGATACCATCATCTCCCACTCTGCTTATGCAATCAATTGCACCATCATTAATAACATTTAAAGTACTGTTGATATTTGCCTCTCTACACCTCCTGATTCATGTTAGAATTATGAAATGTTTTTTCTCGGTCAGTTCTCTTCTCTTTGCATTATAGACAAAACCTAAATATTGTAAAATCTCAACCTTGTTCAATGAAAATTGAAAATAGATTATAAGAAGCATGTCCTGGACTTCTTTTGTACCTTCCTGAAAGGTGATATAACACTTTGGGCAGAAAAGGGAGACAAATAATGGTGTAGTAGCTATGATTTATTTCTTAATCATGTAGTATTTCTAGGTGATTTTAACCATTCTTCCATTCTATTGTTTTAATATTTCTTAAAAGCAGAGTTGAGAATAATTGGTGAGTAAAAATGAAAACAATCATTATGGATGTTGAAATAAAATGTTTCAAAAGATAGGAAAAATCCCTAGGATGTCATGTTTTCTACTTCTTTATGCCCCTTATATATTAATTTTTTTACAAGCATAATGGCCTTTTTATATACTGGCTGTGTGAGATCTTATTATCTCATTCCTACTTTGGACAAACTGGCAGGCTACCGAATGTAACCTACCCACACGGCAGAGTCTGGCAAACTCCCCGTGGTGTACCCAATATGCCAAATACCAGTAACAATGATGGGTCTCATTCTTCTAACCCTGAAAGAGCCTTGAATATGGCACTTTTTAAAATCTCAGGGCTAGAGTGAAGGAGACGTTACTGGTGCCTGCTTGAGGCAATTGATGAAGAACAGGATGATTGTGATTCTGATATACTTATCAAAGAGACCAACAATAGAATACATAATTATAGGATAGTTTTATTCAATTAAGATTTTTTTCTATATAAATATGTCTTTTCTTTTTCTTTGTAAGACCTTTAAGAAAGTAAAAGGTCATGAAATATCAACATTATATCAACTCTCAAGAAAGTAATTCATAGGACTGGGTTGATAGTACAATGGGTAGGGAACTTGCCTTGCATGCTATCCTGGGTTCAATCCCCAGCATCCCATATGTTCTCCTGAGCTGCTGCATGCATGGTCCCTGAGTGCAGGGCCAGGTATAAGTCTTCAGTTTGGTTGGGTATGACCTCAAACTAAACAAAAAAATAATTCAGAAATTAAAATTGGTGCTTGTTGGTACATTTCAACATATAAAATATCCTATCCAGAATTGAAGATAGCATTCTAGGATCTGGCCAGAAAATAAAGAGCAGTGTCAATATCTGCTGTATTTTGGATTGATAGCCTTTTATCGGTTGAAAGACCCAGCAGATTTGTAGGAAAGCCACCTGAGTCTCAACGCTCATTGAACTTTCCATTCATTTTACTTATTTTTACTTTATTTTCCGGGCTGGAGCGATAGCACTGCGGGTAGTGCATTTGCCTTGCACAAGGCTGACCTGGTTGACCTGAGTTGGATTCCTCTGTCCCTCTAGGAGAGCCCAGCAAGCTACCAAGAGTATCTAGCCCGACTGGCAAAGCATGGCAAGTTACCAGTGGCGTATTCAATATGCCAAATACAGTAACAACAAGTTTCACAATGTTACTGGACCTGCTGGAGCAAATAGATGAACAACAGGAGGACAGTGACAGTGACTTTATTTTCCAATAAAAACAATCCACTTAGTATTTGGGGGACATTGATATTTTATCTCCAGATAATGAACATTTTATTTTTCCATGGTTCCATTTATTAGATGTGCCCATTATTACACCCTGTAATTTTTAGATTCAGATTTATCTTCAAACATATTTGCTATCCTTTCCAGCTTTGCTGAACCTCTAGATTTAAGTCAGCATGAAATCAGTATTTTCCAGATCATTAGTGGAAGTGTTGAGCAGGACAGAGTCCTATGACATATCACTTCTACCGCTTTGATAGCAACTCATTAATTGTTATCTGTAGACTTTACTGTTTATTGTTTTATAGACAAAATTTTGCTGACATTCCGATTGCATTTCCCCCTTTCACTCATAGGTGTGTAATGGGACATTTTGACAAATACCACGTTGAAGTCCACTGTCCAGATACATACAATTGTCCTGACACATCACTGTGCTATTCCATCAAAAAGAAAAGTCACTGAACTAATGGGCATTCAATATTCAAAGCTGAAGGGGATTTAAGACAGCATTTCTCATACGTGGGTCATATGGTTCCCTATGAGCCCCCAAGGCATTCCCAAGGGGACCATAGGTGAACATCTGCACAGTGGCTGGTGATGGCAGGAGACTAGAGAGCCAACCCAAAGGAAAAGGAGGTCATAGGAAGGAAACAAGGTCAGAAGGGGACCATAGCGGGTTAAAGGTTGAGAAATATTGACTGAAGAGATGATCTGATTCAATTGTATGTTGTTTTCTTTCCTACCATAGTAAATAGTGAAACTGATTTTTTCAAAAGGTTTCTGAAAAGTGTGAATATTTAAAAGTTGTCTCATGTTCACTCAGATACCTGTGTTTTCTGTGTTCTACAATTTGACTTTTAATGAAATGTGTCAACAAAATGCGTTTTTAAGCAATATTATCTCAAAGTTGATGATCATGAGAGTAAAAAAAATGAGACAATATCGATTTGCTTGACATCTCTTACGTATTAATGACAGAATTATTTTACATGCATTATGGGTTGGAGCAATAGCACAGTGGGTAGGGCTTTTGCCTTGCACGAGGCTGACCTGGTCGACCCAAATTCGATTCCTCCACCCCTTTTGGAGAGCCCAGCAAGCTACCGAGGATATCTAGCCTGAATGGAAAAGCCTGGCAAGCTACCCGTGATGTATTGGATATGCCAAACACAGTAACAAGTCTCACAATGTTACTGGGCCCACTTAAGCAAATCGATGAACAATGGGAGGACAGTGCTACAGTTAAAGTGCTTAATACTTTTTTCTTAAATTGAGATTTTAATCTGATTTTGAGTTTTGAAAAGATGGTTATATATTACAGATTGTGGAAAAATCCTAGAGATTTAAAAACATTACTTAAATGCTCAAATAATTCTTTATTCTTAGATACCTTTCTAAATAGAGTGCTAAAATAAATTCTTGGGAATATTTTGCATCTTAACATGAAAGCAAATAGGATTAATCTATAACATAGATTAATTTTAATGAACATTTGGTATCTATATGCTATAGATGTCTTTGAGGATGGAAATAATACAATAATTATTTCTCTGGAAAATAGACAATAGGGAAAAAATGAGCCTTAATGTTGGAAGAGTCATTTAAAAATTGAGTTTTTCCTTCCCTTGATAGAACTTTATATCACGATGTATTGAGGTGAGGAAAAATTAATTTTAAGTATCATGCAAGGTTTATTTTCTAATTAATTTATTTGAAAAATAGTCTTCTTTTGGTTTAAACAATACTGAAAGATATAGACATTGAGAAGACATAGATTTTATGGTTTAATAAAATTTTTTGAAATGTCTTTTCTATGTGATAAGTTCTATAGCCTTCCTTCCACAAAAGTCTTTCACTTTTCTTTTAATTTTCTTCTGATTAAATTATTTTTTCACTTTATGTTTAGTTACAAATTCGACATTAGTCAAAGAAGTAGAATATGGGATGTGCACTGTTACATGTGGTAAGTAACCTAAAGCAAACAATATTGTATTTGTGAGTGGGGAGGAGGTGAGATAAGGTAATAGGGTATTTTTAATTTATAATTTGCATATTATCTCCCACCTTTCATTGATTTATATTTCTATTAACTGAATTTACACACAGAGCTCAAACTGATTTACATGGTAGTCAGTTTTCAGTTGGTAATCTCTTAATTTTATTTTGAGTCAGCTCCCTCTAATTTTTTGGCATGATTTTTCCCTACATCAAAGTAAAACTTTCTTTACCTCACAGATGTTCAAAAGATGAAATACTTTCTGATGTACTTCACAGATGTCTTCCCACATATTGTGCTGGCAAATCTATTATGAAATTTTATTATTTTCAATAGTCTATTCCAAATCCATATTTCTCCCACTTATATGTCATGTCTTGGAGAAAAGAAATACTGGCTTTGTGGGAAAGATAATATTCAAGAACTATGACTGTCTTAATGCAGATTACTGTGCCTACCTTGAGAGTTTCTCACTATGTCTTCAGAAGGGTTTGAGAATTTTATTTCCAGCAAGTCTACTTGTTACTTATTAAGACTAATGCCTCTGGTTGGATTTTTTTTTTGAGAACTACTGAAGACTAGTGGCATGCTGAGAAGATAAATAATTCACAATGAAATTGAGTTTTCTCTAAATAGAATATTCCCCGTGGGGAGGACTATTGGTGGGGTAGGAAAGAAAAAAATTGCAGGGTATGCAGACCAAAAATTCATGCAGATCTAGAAGGGAGCTCATTTATTGGGCCCAAAATTAATCCTGAGGTGTCAGGGAGATGGTACAGGGCATGTGCCTAACCACACTTTTGTCCTGGTATCACATATCACATGGTCCCCAGCCTCAGCACTGCCTGATGTAGCTCTGGTGACTCCTGAAACACCACCAGGGTACCGTTGGTGGGATCTGGTGCTTCAGGGCCTAAGCACCAACACATCTTTGGACATAGCACCAACTCAACAGCCTGGGTTGTGAAGAATCTTGGAGAGTGTTCCTTAGGTCCCCAGAGCACTACTTGGGGAGGTCTTTAACCCTCCCTCCAAAGGAAAAAGTAAACCTGAATTTTTGAGGTGTCATTTTTTTTAATTATGGTGAAATCAACCTAACATAAAGTGCACTATCTCAATCATTTCTAAATGTACGAATCAGTCACATTAGGCATATTTATATCATTGCACAACCTTACCACCATCCACCTACAGAACTCTTTCATCATCCCAGCCTGAAACCTCTGCACCCACCAGACTCTAATTTCCTGTTACCCCCAAAGCTTGGCAACCACTATGCTACTTTCTGTCTCTTGAGATGGTTTTAAATCTATCTTTTTAAATCTTTATTTCTTGGAAAGTCAGAGTTAGAAAATGAGAGGAATTCTTATGATCAACCTCTGATTATTTATTTGCATTTTATATCTTTCTTGACTGCTTGATAGAAAAATTTGTACGGGTGAGGCACTATTTTTAATGGCAAATCTAATCATTGATATTATGTTACTCTTATTTAATGATGTCTTTTAGAAATTGAATATTGCATTTGTTTATTTAAGAAATAATTTTGTTTTTGATTTTGGGTCCTTTATGTGCCAAATACTGCTTTATATCATGGAAATGAAGCAGTGAGAAAAACAGGGGAAACTTTTCCATCAAAAAAAATATATATATATATATATTTGTTTTTTTAGTAAGACTGATAATATGTAAAACAATAACACATCAGATGGTAGTAAGTTCTAGGAAAAAATAAATCATGGCCAATATTTCGTATCTAGACTTTAAGAATGTTTTTAAAATATTTTCCATTTATAACAACTATTTAGAGGATATGAGACATTCAAGAGAATCCCTTGTGATCCCCCACGTAATATTTTAGCAATCCAAATGTTGTTCCTCCCCCTTCCCCACTGGATAACAGATAGATTTTAGATGTTATTTGGACTTACAGAAAAACCTCACACCTACACACATCATTATGACAAACTGTACTTAAATAAAGAAATAAAAGCATGACACCTGCTTAGAAAATATTTATTCATTTCTGAACAAGACTGTGCATTTCATAAATTCAGATGGAGCAGTGTTAAATTGATTAACGGCATATCTCTTAACTAGAAGAGACTATTCCTTCTTGAGTTGTTCATCTCAAGGAAAGGGGTTGTCTCCACTGTTCGTCAAAATCTCAGCCTCAGCATTACCAAGACAGGATTAGAAATTCACAATCTCAAGACCTACCCCAGATCTACTGAACCAGAATTTGTTCTTATGTCCATTTCTTTTTTATGGGGGCCACACCTCGTGGTGCTCAGGGTTTACCCCTAACTCTGTGCTCAGAGGGCATTCCTGGTGGGTCACTGAAGACGGTACATGGCGGCAGGGATCAAACCCAGATCGGACCCATGCAAGACCCTTTGTACTATCGGTCCAACATTAGAACTCGCATTTTGATAAGCTCTCCAGATATTTTTCACCACTCTAATATTTGAGAAGTACTACTGGGAGCCATCAACAAAAAGTTAAAAGATTCTTTAACTTTCCTGGCCCTGAGAATGAGATCTGTGATTATAATCTAAGGTTGAAAGGGGGAAGCTGGTAGATAAGGATGTTGAGATGAATTCTACTTTAGTGTGATCACACAGTCTTATCACAGGTTCTAGTCAACATGTCTAGTGTTTTTTTTGTCTTCCTCAGTTCTGTGATGAAACTGAAATCTGAGATTAGTTAATAAAGATCTGTTTTCTGTTACAAGGAAGTGTAACAATTTCCTCTGGTAACAATATGGATGAAACTTGAGGACATTATACTGTGTGAGTTAAGACAAAGTCAACTGCTATATGATCTCTCTTCTATGTGAAATCTGAAAAAAATTCATTTTATAGAAGCAGCAGATTTGTGGTTGCCAAGTAGGGGATTTTAGGGATGAAAGGAATTTAAAAAATACTTGTAATTATAAGATAAATGAGTTCTGAGGATGGTGACAACAATGAACAATATTGTAATTATATTTGAAAGTTGCAAAAAGATAGATTTGCAATGCTTTCATCACAAGAAAAATTGTAACAGGGAAGGTTATGAATGTTAACTAAATTTGTGGTAATCATTTTTCAACAAATAGCTGATTAAATCATCATGTTGTACATCTTAGACTTCAAATTTGACAGTTCTAAAGAGGATGTCCTCATGATGGAGCTTTAGTTATTAATAGTTTATGCAGCTATGTTTAATATAGAGATTTTTGCCAATCTAAAAAGGCATGCATATTAAAATGCAATTTTGAAATATTTTCAAGAAGTTCCAAATCCCACTTTCTAAATGTTCCATGGTCAAGTGAATTTATGAGATTTTAGTGCATTTCATCAGGCCTAAGATTTTATTGACTGTAAGAAGCACATTTTTATATTTACCTTTAAAAAAGAAAAATGCTCATTTTTGACATGCTTTAATTATAAAAGGCATTCTGATTTCAAAGATATTAAAATGTAAATTTTTATTTTAAGATCAATGAAAATTCACACATTTTTGTAATAAAGAATTACATAATAAAAATTCTGTAATAAATTTTATTTAATGCATCATCTTCAAATTTGCATAATTATGGAATCCCTATTCCTTATGGTACAAACCCAGAGGGAATGGTATTTCACCCTAGCTCACTGTGGAAAATGCTGTTTTGTGAAATAGTGAAAAATGAGGAATCTAAAAAGAGGCTAGTTATTATTTTTCTGCATTTAGGAACTTAATTTTTGAAATTCTGGGAAAAGTCTCAAAAAAGAACTTGATGGAAGAGAAAGTCAACAATGGAATTGATCTGTTTTAATATTTGCTGTTTCTTTTATCAAAGGCATTGGTATTAGAGAAGTTATATTAACAAAAGGATGCCCTGGAGGTGAATCCAAGTGTATTGTGAGGGTGGAAGAATGCCGTGGACCAGCAGACTGTGGCTGTGAGTTGGACTCTTGTGTTGGATATTCTCAACCTCAGATTGCCACAAGTGAAAGAGGTCATCAATTGAGACATTGAAAGGAAATCATAATAAAGTTCCACTTTTCTAGACAGTGAGCTCTTGAGTAACTTTCCGGTTTTGCTTTACATTTTTCAATGATATCTTACATTTTACACCTCTATTACACACTGGATTGCACTTAGGGTCTGTAATTGAGGCTATCGTATAGTAAAATTCAGCTTTTGACAATTTGGTCATGACAATTTATATCCAATTATACTATTCTGAGATTTCGTTGTCTCTAAGTGGACTATCGAAGGCCCTAGTAGATCTCAAACTAGATAGATTGCCCTTTCTAAAACTCTTTGAAATTCACTCTGTGGAAGGAAAAGAGAGCTATGGTATTCTCTGCACTACGGGCCCCCTGTGGGATTCCGGGGACCATATGGGATGCTGGGGGTCAAACCTGGGTTGACTGTGTGCAGGGGCTGGGGTATTCTCTACCTGCTTCTTTTAGCACTTTTCATCCATCATTCTTTTCTGTTTCTCTACAAGTGACTTTTAAAGTTAGCACTACATTTAAATTTATAATTCACAATGGTGTTTTTTTTTTTCAAAGGGGGCACACCAATTTCAGAAACTCTTGACAGTGCTAGACTGGCTTGTGTTCATGTATCTCCTGTAAATCGTTTCAGATATGTTTGGAGAGTTCTAAGGGCAGACCAGGTGAGTAAGGAGTATATGTAATTTGCTGCTTTCTACTAATTGATACCATTTACTTCTCAGTTTTGATGATTATCAGAAATCATTCTCTTTAAAAGCAATTTGAAAATAAATTTAAATTATGTAACTTTCTTTTTGTGGGGGCACACCCAGCAGTGTTCAGGGCTCCTACCTCTGTGCTCAGGGATCACTCCTGGTAGAGCTAAGGGGACCATATGTGATGCTGGGGATTGAACCCAGGTAACCACTTACATATAAGGCTGTCCTATTGCTCTGGCTCTGTCTAATAATTTTTTTATTATTGGAATTTTAAAGTTTTTATCATGTAGAGCTAAGATTTTACAGAGGTCCTAAAGCCAGCTATTACTGGAACTTAAAATCAACCATTTTATATAAAGTATTCCATTTTTGAAGCAAAATTTTCATTTGTAGGTATAGAAGTTACTTAATGAAGACAGTAACTACTATTATTAAGTAGTACAAATATTCACTTGGTAGAGTTTCTTTAAACTTGCCTTATAATCTGAACACTACATCCATTTGACAGATAAGTAACATAGACCAGAGAGTAAATTGTCCTTGGTTGCACAGGCAGTAGTTGTTAGCATTGGTACCGAATGTCTGCATCACATGATTCTAAAATCCACTAGCACAATTAATTACTAGAGAGAAAGATTCCTCTTTTGTTAGAGTCCATTGTTGCTGAATCTTAGGTTTACATGAAAAATGTTAATACTTTTTTCCCTTTTAAATAGCAACCTGTTATAATTTCAAATGATACAGTAATATTGGATATTAAGAGGGAAAATCATCCCGTTGCTTTTGAGTGTAATACTTATGAGAATAATGACCTAGTAGCATCTGTTAGATTCACAGTCTACACATCAAATGGTAAGTGTCCAGCTATGTTTTACCTTTCTCATATTTCTTCTTCTTCTTTTTTTTAACGCTCTGAAATAATCACTATCACTGTATCACTGTCATCCTGTTGTTCATCAATTTACTCAAACAGGCGCCAGTAACATCTCCATTTGTTCCCAGCCCTGAGATTTTAACAGCCTCTCCTTACTTTTCCAACACTGCCATACTGGAAGCTCTTTCAGGGTCAAGGGAATGAGAGCCGTTATTGTTACTGTTTTTGGCATATCAAATATGCCACAGGTAGCTTGCCAGGCTCTGTCATGCTGCGTGATACGTTTTGGTAGCTTGTCGGGCTCTCCCTCTATGATTTGTTGCCTAGTATCTGAGCCCCATCAAATATGGTGTGGTAATTATGGAAAATGGGTAGGGAGTATCTTATGATGTGTCGCATGAAGCAGCCGTGCAGTCTAGGAATATGTTCACTTATATGTGAAGGAACTGGGAGTACTTCCCAAGAACCAGACGGTATGATCCAAACCCAAATACAACAAAACAAATAAATAAGGACAAAATGAATTTTATTTAAAAAAATTTTTTTTATTTTATAAAGTTGTTCACAATATTTCATTACATTTAACATTCAAACACCAATCCTGCCACCATTACAGCTTCCCATCACCATATTTCAGATGTTTCCATCCAGAATCCCAATCCCTGCCTCAAAGCAGAGCCGAAATAATATATTTTATATTGTTTGTTATGAAAAACTGCTGAAAATGTTACAAAAAAACTATTCTTAGAGGAAAGAGTGTGGAGATGGCTGTATTTCACCAAGGGGCCATTAAGCCCTTCTATAAGAGATCACTTATATATTGCTAAAGGTTGAACTTTGTGTGCTTTATATATATGTATATGTATATATATTTGTAAAAATTGTATATTTCCCTTTAAGATTGGTTGTCTCTTTCTTTGTACCTTTATCATAGTTCAAATTGTAAAGCACATTAAAATCACCTGTAGATGAATTCCTAAAATATATACAGATGTTTAACCTCACCCCCAAATTTTCTAGATGTGTGTATTTTGGTGAGACTGATAGAATTTGCATAACTACCTTAACCCAGATGCTTCCAGTCCAGAGACCACTCTTACAAACAGAAACAATGACTCGTATCATTTAGGTTTTTCTGCAAGGAGTCACTGTCACTGTCACTGCCCTCCCGTTGTTAATCGATTTTCTCGAGCTGGCCCGGTAACGTCTCCATTGTGAGACTTTGTTGTTACTGTGTTTGGCATATCGAATACATCATGGGTAGCTTGCCAGGCTTTGCCGTGCGGGCGAGATACTCTCAGTAGCTTGCTTGCCGGGCTCTCTGAGAGGGGTGGAGGAATCGAACCCGGCTCCGCCGGGCGCAAGGCAAATGCCCTACCGCTGTGCTATTGCTACAGCCCATTCTGCAAGGAGTAGTGCTTACTTTCTTTTTTTCTTTTTGGGTCACACCTGGTGATGCCCAGGGATTACTTCTGGCTCTGCACTCAGGAATTATTCCTGGCGGTGCTCAGGGGACCATATGAGAAGTGAACCCAGGTTAGCCGCATGCAAGGCAAATGCCCTATCTGCTGTGCTATAGCTCCAGTCCCTAATTTATTTTTCATAAAGATCAGTCGGCTGGAGCGATAGCACAACGGTAGGGCGTTCGCCTTACAAGCGGCCAACATGGCCGACCCGAGTTCGATTCCTCCGCCCCTCTCGGAGAGCCCGGCAAGCTACCGAGAGTATTCGATATGCCAGACACAGTAACAACAAAGTCTCCAATGGAGACGTTACTGGGCCCGCTCGAGCAAATCGACGATCAACGGGAGGACCTTTTTTTTTTTTTTTTTTTTTTTAAGATCAGTCAGATATGCCTAACTTTAGGAAAGTGGCACCTGAAATATCTCCAAAGACACAATTGAATTTTATTCTCTTTTTACTTATATCACAAAATTGAAAATACATCATGAAATACTCAATGATGTTTCCATAAATCTTGGTGTAATAAATAGATAAAAGATATGGTATCAAGTTATGTCTATTGAGCACTTTTTTACTTAAAGAAATTGATGAATAGATACTGCTCTATATCAAAAAAGGTAAATTTTATCCTGAATGTAGTTTGATTGTTAGAAACTGTATTTTCATTGTGAAGCAGATTCTTATCCCTGTCCTTTCAATTCAAACTATGGTGTGTTCTATCCCCAATTGACATTTCCTTTGGTTCAGTTGTTCTTAACTGTCTATTTTGTTGTTGTTGTGCGCTTGTTGTTGTTGTTATTGTTATTGGGACTATGGAGGGTGTGGTCACAAGTTCTTTTTAACATCCAACCAAGTATTTGGAGACCTTCCAGAAAAAAATTGCTCTTATAAACAAATATGACAAAAGTTACCTATAACTTTAAGGAAGTTGTGAATTTCTTGAAATTCTTTCTGGATTCTTATAACCTAGCATTATAAACACTACACCCTGTCTTGAAATGGAAACAAGGTAAAGTGCTTTGAAAATAATTTTAAAAAGTAAACTAAAAATTCTCTAATGTGTTGTTTTGTGTTTTTAAAAATTATCTTTAGGGTTGGAGAGGTTGCAGCAGGTAAGATACTTCCCTTGCATGCAGCTAACCCACATATGGTCCCCTGAGCATCATCAGGAATGAACCTTGAACACAGACCAAGGGATCAGTAATAATTCCTGAACATAGCCAGGTGTGACCCAAACACTATCTCCCCTCAAAATCACATTATGGTGAAATCTCATAATATTGATCCAATGTTGACATATCAGCAGTATTAAAAGAATAATTTCAATTTCAATAAGGTGCTACAGAAAGCAAAAAGAAAGAAAGAAAGAAAGAAAGAAAGAAAGAAAGAAAGAAAGAAAAGAAAAGAAAAAGGGCCAACATATTATCAAACTAATAGAATTCTCAATGGGTCCTACTTCAAAATTTTGTTTAAATATTTTGAATGCTATTCTGAATTTTTATTCCTACAGCCTGGTCCTCATCAGGACTGCTCAATGGATAGCTTCTCCCATAATTAAAAGGCCACATGCATTTGAAGGTACATAAGCTGGGGACCGAACACAGAAAAAAAAAAGCCCTCAATAACATAAGTCCACTACTCTCTGTATAAGTTGTTCAGGGTGTAAGATACTTGCCTTGTACACAGCTTGTTTCAATCTCTGGCATCTTATACGGTCTCCAGAGCACCTTAAGAGTAATCCCTGAGCAGTGAGCTGGGAGTAAACCCTGGGAACTATCAAATGTTGCTCTAAAACAAAAATAAATAAAACAATGATGGGACACACTGAAAACGGACCCTTTCACTATTTAGACATATGACAAATTTTTGTGTATTTTTTTGGTTGCTGTTGTTATTAATGTCTTCATTACCCTGGTAAGTGCTTGGTCCATTTCTCATGGCCTTTTGCTTTGATTAGTCTATTTCTTCCAGATCCTGTTAGCCCACGCACTAGAAGCTTGGTTTGCTTCTCAGGAGTCCAGTTTTGGGTAACCCAATATATCCTTCTAGATGAGCCTTATGTTTTCTGGTCTCTGAGGTATCTTCCTATGGAACAATGGAAGGCTGTTGAAGTAGTGGTGGGCCAGACTGAATAGCCCTGAGATTTGGTGTTGGCTGGCTGTGAGCTGTAAGTCTTCTCCAAGAGGGCAGTTTCAAGTCCATTGCTGGAGAAAGGATTTAGTGATCTATAATTCCATTCAGGTAGGATTCCACTGGCAAACTCCAACTCTTTATAGTAGCTCAGTGTGGGCCAGAAAGAAGTTGGCCGCTGGGAAGCCATCCAGTAGTAAGAAAAATTCCACTCTTTTGAATACAGTCCCTGAGCCTGCTCTGAGCCAGGAATGGCCCAAACTGTAACAGTTCCCATCACTGCCACTGACCCCATGTAATTGGGGGTGTTCTTCATACAGACACCAGCACTTCAGTCTTTGTCTCACTGTAGCACTGTAGCACTGTCCTTCCATTGTTCATCTATTTGCTGTAGTGGGCACCAGTAACATCTCCATTGTGAGACTTGTTGTTGCTGTTTTGGGCATATTGATTAAGCCACGCATAGCTTGTCAGGCAGGCTCTGCCATGCGGGCAGGATACTCTCAGTAGCTTGCTGGGCTCTCCAAGAGGGACAGAGGAATCAAACCCGGGTCAGCTGTGTGCAAGGCAAACACCCTACCTGCTATTCTATAGCTCCAGCCCCTTAGTCTTGCTATTGAGGAGAAAGTCATTGTCTACTCAGAGAATGCATTCGGAGACTCACTACCAAGTGACCTGAGGTCGATGGCCAGATTTCTACTGGCAACTAACCCAAAGGGCATGCTGCAGTGCTCCACTTCAAGTGGCCCTTGTCAGTTTTCAGGGGCTCCTTAGTGTTATCAGCAATGACCAAAATCAAGCCTAGGTTAGATTCCTCTGAGGAAGCAAGGTCTTGAGCTTGCAAGGATAGAAGACAGTTTTGATGGCAATGGTCACCATGTGTCTTAAGCTTCCTCTCTGATCTGGGGTTGTATATCTTAGTAAAACAAGATAATGGATGGTCACGGGAAAGTTAACCCCTGAGGACATGATCTCTACACCCTCCACATCCACACTGTGGGTCTTGTACACTGTGGTAGTGTGTGTCTCATACTGGAGGATGACATGCCAAAGCACTTGGTTACTGGTTAAAATGGTCGGTTACTTTATGCGTCTGTTCTGTACTCATGGTTTGGGGCTTCAGTGATGCTATACAGTGTTCCCAGAGTAACTTGCCAGTTGACCTCATAGATGGAGGCAACCGGTACTTCAGACTAGAGACCTCATATGGGACCTATGGGTGTGCAGGGGTAACCTCTGCACTCAGTGGAAGGGGGATCCAAAAAGGGAGGGTTGATCTGAGTCAGCATCCTTCTCCCCCTTGAAAGTCCTTAGCTTTCCCCTTCTTCAAATTCAGCCTCTCTCCTTGCTTTCACTGTAGGGAAGTAATGTTGGACATTGGCACATTGGAAAATGTAGCCATCCAATCTAGTGGTTCCTCAGGTAAATTCATTTTTTGGGAATAGCCAGATTCCATTATAGGTGAAGAGCTTCTGGAAATGTTCCTCCAAAAGTCTCTTTGACATCCTGGCCACTGGAGCAGAAAGTCATCCTCTGATTTGAGCTACCAAACATTGCTTGGAGATGCAAACTCCTGGCCATAACTGGAGCAATGCCCAGCCCTGAGATGAATATTTATGCCTTAATGAACCAATGAACCAAATTATACAGAATCCCACCGCCTTAGACTAACATAGCCAGGCAGTCATTCTGCTAGCTGCCCAGCTCTGGCACCAACGCTGGCCAGTTCCTAAGAGCCGGTAGGAAGAAGGAACCCTGACAACTTGGGTGGACGTGGGTGAGGTCCATGTCTCAAATCCTCTCTACTCGTTGAGTCCTGGTCCCTTGGTAATGAATTTTAGGTTAATTTTTAAAAAAAATATCACAACCAGCAAGGGCCCACCCAAGGATAATTCAGCAACCCATCCTTGACACTGCTCTAAGCAACAGATACTAGCAATTGCTTCCAAGAAACCTTAAAAACAGCTTTGAAGAAGCAAGGGGTTTACAGTCCATCTTGGAAGTGGCTCACAACCCATTACTCACGGTGTTCCACTCCATCCTCTATGCCCCATGCTTTTCCCCTCGACCCCGTGGAACTCACTTCTTTTCCAGGATATTCCTGTATCTCAAATTGTAGTGCACATTTCTTTTATGTTGGATCTCTCTCTCTCTCTCTCTCTCTCTATCTCTCTCTCTCTCTCAATCCTAGATCACTCTGAAATGTGTTCTCACTTCTTCTATCACATGTTCTAAATAAAATGTCTTTGCTTCACTATTAGTCCTCTCCTAAAATACTTTTCTGAGAGAATTGACAAGGAGAATGGGAAACCGCAGGGGTAGTGGGGGAGGGAAAGAATTTAATCAAAACAAACATTCTAGTAGAAAGGTCTACATAATATTGCACTGGCTTAAAAAATAAATAGCTATAACTGAAATAACTGAAATATTTGAGGATAAAAGTGGTTCAATAAAAAATTTCTATCACAATTTTTCACAATTCTTTTGTTCAACTTTTTGTAATTAAACATTGTTATGGATTAAAATTTTATCCCCCCCTAAGATGATTCTTTCAAGTACAAATTCTTAGAACTCTAGAATGTAACCATATTTGTATATAGACATGATTGTTTTATCTACAATAAAGCAACACCGTATAGACCTTGAATCAAAATGTCTGGTGTCCTTATAAGAATAGAGAAATTGGTAAATGCAGAAGGCAGGGGAGGAGAGAAGAGGGGAAAGGAGAGGAGGAGAGAGGAGGGAAAGTGAGGAGGGGAGAGGAGAGGAGAAAGGAAAAGGAAAACCATTCATACGAACTGGGAGATTGAATTTACACTGCCACCAGTCACGGAATATTTGGAGCTACCAGAACCTGGAAGATGAGAGGGAGGATTCGTTCCTGGAGCCTTAAGGGAAATCAATATCGCTATACTTTTAACCTCAAGAACTGTGAGACAATAAAATCTGCTGCATTTAGATTACCATTTGACAGTGGTACTTTTGTATGGTGGCTCTAGGAACTAACACAGACTCAATTTCTCTAACAAGTGAGAACATTCAAATACAGTGGATTTTTTAATTAGAGAATTTTAATAGGAAATTAGGACTCTCTTCCTCCTCCTCCCCTATTCTTCACCACACTCAACTGTGATCAGGGCTCATTCTTAGTGCACTTAAGGAACGATATTATGTGCTAGAGATCAAACCTGGTCAGACACAAACAAGGCAAGTACCTTACCTATTGCACTGAAATGCACCCTTTTTGTTGTTGTTGGTGGTGGTGGGGCACATCTGGAAATACTCAGGATTTACTCCTGGTTCTGCACTCAGGAATATATCCTGGCATTGCCCGGGGAATCTTTTGGGATGTCAGGGATAGTACCCTGCTCTACTGTGTGCAGTGAAAGTGCCTAACCTACTGTACTAGCCCACTGTACAGCCTAACCCACTGTACTGTTTCTCTGGTCCAGAAATACAGCCTTTTAAAATTAGATATAAAATTCATCTAAGTAAAGTCCTTAAAAGAAGATGCTTTTAAAATAAATTGTTCTTCATATCCTTTATGCTGTACCCTCTTTTGACTAGAATTACAGTGTGAGTGAAACGTGAAGGAACTTTGCTGCTGTTCTCAGGTTTTAAGCCTAATAGGTGTCTTATATGAATATATTAATTTATGTTGCATCATAAATATGATGTAATTTTTCTATTATACTTAGAACTATTTAGTGAGATCACTAAATGGAGTTCATAGCTATAAAATTACTTAAGAAAATAAAAACTTATACTCCATGGTGTTTAAAGTGGTAGAAGAACATGTAGACAAATAAGCAGTTGAGATTGACATATGGGGGAATATTTCATGTAGAGTAATCCTTGATGAAATGAAAGCATTCATAGACATAGAACATAGCATATGCACACAATGAAAATGCCCTGGGTATTAGTTATAATTTGATCGGTGCATCAGATGATCACTCTGATTCTTCCCCAGGAGAATCTTTTGTGATTCTCTGATTTAGGGATCAGGAAAGAAGCCTAAGGAGCCGTAGAATTCACAAAGTAAGTGATTCATAGTATTTGACTTTTATCAGTTTACAATATAGAACTGTTAACACATGGTAGACTAATTATCTTATGGTAAGAACAAAATTGTAGAAGAAAATGCATGATTTAAAAGTAGAGTGTATATATTTGTATAAAAATAATGAGCATCAACCCCCACCTTATGGCACGTACAAAAATAAGATATATATCACAGTTATAAATTAAAAAGTGAAAGCCATAAATCTTTAAAAAGGAAACACAGGAGAAATCTGTGTGATTCAGAAGATGACAAGGGTTTCTTAGATATGATTCAGAAAATAGTTACCATAAAAAGGAAAAATTAATAATTTTAGGCTTCATCAAAATTTAAAACTTCAGCTCATTAAAAGAAATCATTTAAAAATTAATAGGCTGACCAACCACTGAGAGGAAAATATTCTTGAAACATGCATAGTTAACTAAGCAGTTTGAAAAAAAGTCTTCAAGTTCCTTGGAGGAACTAGCGGGTAGGGCATTTGCCTTGCACGCGGCCAATCTGAGTTCGATTCCTCCGCCCCTCTTGGAGAGCCTGGCAAGCTACTGAGAGTATCTTGCCCGCATGGCAAAGCCTGGCAAGCTACCCGTGATGTATTTGATATGCCAAAAACAGTAACAACAAGTCTCACAATTTGTTGTGAGATATTACTGGTGCCCGCTGGAGCAAATCAATGAACAACGAGAGGACAGTACTACCTTATCAACCAGCAACTAATTCCATTCTTAGGTATTTATCTAGAGGATGAAAACATATGTTCACAACAGACTTGCACAAGAGTCTTCATAACGGCTCAATGTAGCTGCCCTGAATTGAGACATCCTAGGTGTTTATTGGTAAATAATGGGGAAATACTGATATATACAACAATATGGGCAAGTGTTTAAAACATTATGCTAAGTAAAAATATATAAAATATATAGTATTGTATAAAATATATATTATATGCCTTCATTTCTAAGAGGTTTTATAATAGGCAGAACCAATGGTAGGAAAGAAAATCATAACAGCAGGTCTCCTAGGGAAGATTGGACAGGAAACTTTCTGGGATTATAGTCACTGTCACCTTCACTGTCACTGTCACTGTCCTCCCATTGTTCATCGATTTGCTCGAACAGGCCCAGTAACATCTCCATTGTGAGACTTGTTGTTACTGTGTTTGGCATATTGAATATGTGACAGGTAGCTTGCCAGGCTTTGCCACGAGGGCGAGATACTCTCTGTAGCTTGTCGGGTTCTCTGAGAGGGGTGGAGGAATAGAACCCGCTCAGCCTGGCTAGCCACGTGCAAGGAATGTCATACTACTGTGCTATCACTCCAGCGAAATTATTTTATAGTAATAATCTTTTATTTATTTAATTTTATTTTACTATTTATTTTACTATTTACTTACTAGTTACTATTTATTTTACTATGTATTTTACTATTTATTTACTATTTATTTTATTTTACTATTTATTTACTATTTATTTTATTTTACTATTTATAGTAATAATGTTTTATTATTATACTGGGATTTGCATTTCTGGGTGTCCTAAAGAGGTTTGCACATCTGGGAGTATAGTAAAATTATATAAGCATCTACATTACTTTCGCCTACATTACATATGTGTATTTATTTGCCAAAAATTAAGTAAATGTACATCTGTTCAGTTCACTGTAAAATATATCTCAGAAAGAAAAAACTACAACTAATACTGAACTCTGGTTAATGATATGCCCATTGAAAAGTTTTGTAGGAGGTATACAGGTATTATCAAATTATGTTGTATGCATCAAAAATAAATGATGGGTAAATGATTTGATCAGATGGATAGTAAATATAACAGCTAAGCTCAATATAGGCCGATGATTTTTAACTTTTGTGTTTGTAATGAACATTTCAGATATGAAGACCAGGTTCATTAATAACTTTCCACCATAATGTTTCTAAAACTGTTTTTTTACTACAAAGTTTCCAATTAATGTTTTTACTTTTACAGTAGTAATAATAATTAGTTATGTGGTTTTTCTTTAGAACTGCGGGTGAGAAGAACAAACCGGCCAGATACTGATGCAGTCCTCGTTTTTGTGCTGACTATAGGAGTCATTATTTGTGTATTCGTGATCTTTGTACTGATTTTCATAATTATAAATTGGTAGGTGGAAGAAGGAATGTGAGTCATCACCCTCGATAGGCATCCTGATCTTCCCCTTCCCTGTCAAATGAACCCAAAGCCCTATTCATGATGCTTCCTGCCTATGACTTTAAAACTGCCCAACTCCATTCCTCCTGGATATCTAGTTTAGGCTAGCTCATTTTATACCTTGGTTCCCCAGACACAAGAGAACGTTGAAATACAAATTTTACAATTATATATTACATATACATAACCATATTTACTACCCAAAATGAATTTTTTTGACAACTGTTGTCTAGTTGAAATTATAACAACCAGAGACTTGGTTATTATAGCCTACTAATTAACTAATAGTTGTCTTCCCATTGTTCATCGATTTGCTCAAGCAGGCCCATTAACGTCTCCATTTTGAGACTTGTTGTTACTGTGTTTGGCACTGCTGCTCAGGCGAGATACTCTTGGTAGCTTGCTGGGCTCTCTGAGAGGGGCAGAGAAATTGAACCCAGCTCAGCCAGGCTAGCTGAGCACAAGGCAAATTCCCTACCGAGGTGCTATCGCTCCAGCTAATAGTTAACATAACTAATTTTTTTTTTATGCCTTCACGAGTAAGATTGTCTACTTAGTATGTCTGAAGGTTTACCAATGTTCCGATTTTTTTTTAAAAAAATTGATTAAGGAGTTCCTTCTATACATAAAAATGTAAATATAAATGGAATTCAAGTTTTCATCTCATAAATGATCTTTTGTCTTTACATTTTTTTAATCCCTCAGGGCGGCAGTCAAAGCTTTCTGGGGGGCAAAATCCTCAAGTACTGAGATACATTCTGATCTGAGTTCAATGAGATATAAAGATTCAGCTTCGATTGACCAATCACCAGCAGAAATGCCTGCACGGGAAGATGATGCTTTAAGTGAATGGAATGAATGATGGATGGATGCTATATACCAAATTACAGAAGATTAGAGCATATCATATTTCTTATTATAAAAATAAATATATAATAAACTACTTTAATAACATAGTGAGTGATTTGCTTTAGTCTGAAGGTAAGGAACATAAGAAAAGGGCTGTTTCAATAAATGCATCTTTGTAGTGGAGTTTTCTCAGTATTCACCATTTCAGATAGTCACTTTGTGTGTGTGTGTATGTGTGTATGTGTGTGTGTGTCTGTGTGTGTGTGTCTGTGTGTTGGGGGTGTAATATTTATCTAGAGACTCTACCACAAGTACTTCACAACACACTTTTGGTCTTTTCAATCACTTCTAAGGTAAGTTACCTGTTCTAACCCAAATAAGAAAAACACAACATTAAAGATATATTGCTTATTTGAATTTATCCCCTCTTGGAGTCCTGGATTAAGCTTGCTAAAACAAATCATACTTTAGAATCTCTGCAAAGACATGAGGCACACAAAGCACCACTGTAAGATATGAAACAGTAATAATAACAACCAATGCTTAGTGACTCCTATGCTTTAGGCATTCAAAGCTTTTTACATAGTTTGGGGCAATTGTGATGGTATAGGAAATATGTAAGGAATAAGTGGAGAAATGGATTGCCTGGAACCTTCCACATGCAAGGTACAAGCCTATCACTAAGTAACATCCCTGATCCACCTTACAAAAATGATGATTTAAGAACTTTAGAATGGTTAGGGCTATGGTGCCGCCAACAGGTCAACCAGTACCTGCAGGGCAGGTGCATTAGCAGCCTGATGGTGCCTTCAGGCTTCCTGACACCCCAAAATTGCCGCTGTGCCTTTATCCAGACCCCCAACAACTTGGGACCAAGTTTACCAAATGGCCAAAAATTAGATATGTGGGAGGGGAGCCATGCCCACAAACCACCTCCGGCTCAGCTGTACAAACAACCATGGTCCAGAGACACCCAATAGAATCCCAAAATGGATTAGTACCCTACAGAAATGTTCCTGAAACCCAATCATATTCAATATAGGATTCCAGAAGCGCACAGCCACAGAACCCATGATGTTTAAAATGAGCAAGAGACAATAAATGATTTAGCATCTGCCCCAGCAGGCAGGTTTGAATGGTGGTAGGGAAATTTGAACAAAACATCATACCCAAAAGTAGAAGGAGAGTATTGGGAAAATTGTCTGCCATGGAGGCAGGGTGAGGACTGGGATTAGGGAGAGGGGATATACTGGGGACACTGGTGACAGAAAGTGTGCACTGGTGGAGGGATGGGTGTTTGATCATTGCATGACTGAATCTCGAATATGAAAGCTTTGTAACTGATTCAACTAAATTTGATTGTAGGTGATTCAACTAAAAAAAATAATGTGGAGTTCATGCCCAATTCAATCAGCTTAATCAATGGCTGAATAAATAGCAGTACTCCAACATTAAAAAAAAAGTCATTGATGAGTACCTTCATTGTACTTAGTATACAGGTGGTAATATTTTAAAGGCAGGATTTTTTTTTTTCTGAATATCACAATAGCACGGCGGTAGGGCGTTTGCCTTGCATGTGTGGTCGGCCCAGCCGAGCCAGGTTTGATTCCTCCGACCCCTCAGAGAACCCAGCAAGCTACTGAGAGTATATCGCCCACACAGCAAAGCCTAGCAAGCTACCCATGACATTCGATATGGCAAACACAGTAACAACAAGTCTCACAATGGAGATGTTACTGGGCCTGCTTGAGCAAATCGATGAACAGGAGCACAGCGCTACAGTGCTATCACAATTGCCTCAGTTTGTTTTAAATGAAAAGATACAATAGAAATTTATTTCTTAGTGTTGCAAGGGGGCCGGAGCGATAGCACAGTAGGTAGGGCGTTTGCTTTGCATGCAACCAACACGGCCGACCCGAGTTCGATTCCTCTGCCCCTCTCGGAGAGCCCAGCAAGCTACCGAGAGTATCTCGCCTGCACGGCCAAGCCTGGCAAGCTACCTGTGACGTATTCGATATGCCAAACACAGTAACAAATCTCACAATGTAACTGGGCCTGTTCGAGCAAATCGATGAACAACGAGAGGACAGTGATACAGTGGTACAGTATTGCAAGAATTAAGGGGAGATTCTAGATCATTATCATTTATATGCTATATAAATACTATTATAGCTCATAATTGCAAATTTGAGTAGTATCAGTTCAGTAGACTAGTCTCATGTGTAACAGAAAATGTCAAGTAATGCATACTAACAATAGTTCCCTCTTAAAAATGTTCCTTTGACCTTCATTGTCTTAGCATCACCTTGATAGAATTTTGTGAAACCATTCTACTCCCAAGGCCAGAAATTAATATCAAGTTCTTTTTTTTTTTTAATGTAGGAGGACTACTATTTATTCAGCCATTGATTAAGCTGATTGAATTGGGCATGTATTCCACATTACTTTTTCTTTTTTTATTCAGAATGTTAATTTTATTATATTATTATTTTCCTCCCCCTTTTATTGATTCACCATGAGATACAGTTACAAAGCTTTCATGTTTTCTTTTTTTTTTTGCTTTTTTTAAAAAATTTTTTATTAGTGAAACACCATGACAAAGCTTTCATGTTTGAAATTCGGTCATACAATCCTCAAACACCCATCCCTTCACAGTGCACGTTTTCCACCACCAAAATGCCCAGTAATCTCCCTGCCCCACCCCGCTCCATTCCAACCCTAACCCCTGTCTGTGTGGCAATTTCTTCCATACTCTCTCTCTACTTTGGCTATATTTGATATTTCGACACCAGTCCCACCAACTCTCAAACCTGCCAAAAAGGCAATGCTAGATGATTTGTTTTGCTTGTTATGAATAGAATATAATGTCCAGGAAATTCTGTGTTGTTCTCTTTCAGGAGCTTTAGTTTATGGTTTCTGGATCTTGGTTGTTGAATAGATTACATGGCACTGGGGGCAGTTTGTGGATGTGACCCCCAAGCTACTGGAAAACTGGGGACCTGGAGGAGGCCCAGTGCCGATTCAAGTGGACTTGGAGATCTCAGTCATGGTTCCTACATACTTGGGTTTTCCTGCCAGTCTGCTCTTGGGTGAGGTTCATCCTGTCTTGGGTGAGGCTCATCCCCACTTTAATGGAGCTCGTCTGAGCGTGTAGAGCGTGTAGGATGGCGGCGTTTGGGTTCTGGAGGTTTTCAGCTGCCGGGGCTCTGCTTGGGGCGGGGAGGGAAACTCAGTCCGCTCCTGTCTGAGGTGCCCTGGTGAAGACAGCCTCCACTTCTCACTGGGTTCTGGAAGCTTCACTTTTCACTGGGTTCTGAAAGTTGGCAGCCATCAGGGTTCTTAGGGGACAGGCAGAGATGCCTATGACGCCTGTCTCGGTTGAAGTTGGCCTGGCTTAAAATTTGGAGGCACCTCTGCAGCTAGCTGCTTGGTTTGGAGATTCTTTTGTGTGTCTTTGGATCATGGCCCTTGTTTCCATCTTTTCCAGAGAAATAAACTATTGGCGTATGCCCCGCAGGGTGTGCCTGCTCTCCTGCATTGTCCCACATCACCAGCTTGAACTGCATCTTTTGATCTCTTTTGAGATTTCTGGGTCTCTGAAATAAGGCCAATAAATGAACTTATATAGCTGAACTGGAGGTGGTTTGTGGATGTAGCTCCTACATACCTAACTTTTGGCTGTTTAATTTCTTGGTAAACTTGGCCCCAAGTTGTTGGGGTCTTGCCAGAGGCACAGCAGCAATTTTTGGGTGGTATCTTGAAGTCTGAAGGCACCAGAATTGACAATAAAGTACATTATAATATGTCCCAGTTTCTCTGTGAAGTCACTCCAAGTCTCATAAAGACCCGTTGTCATAGTCTATTAGAGGGATCTCTCCCTGATAAAGTCTATGAGGTCTCCATTGTATGCCATAAAGATTAATGAGGCCAGTTATTTCCTTCTCCAGGAAGACAAGCCAGAGGCATCATATTATTTCCAAATGCTGCTAAATTTCAGCTATTATATTTCCCAATCATAAAATATCTACTGGTAAATTCTTGAAGTTAACATCTGGATCAGGATATTAAGCCATGCAAACATGTATTAAGAAGGACTCCTTTTGGATCCCAAGGCATTGATCTTCATACTCACACAACAGGAGTATTTTGTAAAATGTCAAGAGAATACCCTTGTGAGTATAAGAATGCAACTTAATATTCATTGAGTTCTTTTAGGTTAGGTACTGTACTAGGTACTTTTAATACAACTTGAAGAAGAAGAAAGGATTTTCTTAATTTTGGAGTTTGTTATTTACCCAAGAAACATATATTACAATCAACTGGGGTGAATATATTGAAGGAAACTTGTAACTTTGGGTGAAATTAAGTTAGAGAAATGACATGTGTCTGAATAGGATTACTCTGGTTAAAGGGGCAGGACAATAAGGCAGAGGGAAGAGCAAGCACGAATGCTCTGAGTCAAGAAGGAACATGACAGAGGCAGTGGTTTTGCTCCCTGGTGCAGTATTCACCTTGCACTGTGTGGTCCTGATTCAATCCAGCACCACACAAAAGGAGAGGTAAAAAGGATCTTAATATCTGAGAGAGGGCTAACTGAGTTCAAGTGTAGCGGGGGTAAATAGTAAAAGGTGTCACTGTGGATATAGGCAGATGAGGTGCAGTATGCGTGTGTGTGTGTGTGTGTGTGTGTGTGTGTGTGTGTATGTGTGTGTAATGATAAAGATAAAGGGTACAAGGAGTTTTTGTTGAGTGGTACTCTTGAGTTTTTTGCTATACCATATTTCCCCATGCCTTTCTAGGCCTTTTATTATTAGAATTTTGACATATTCATATATTGCTCTTTATTTATATAGAGCAGTCTATACTTCATATGGGTTCCTCAGAGTATTAATACAATGTTTTATTAATTAGGCATTAATTCCATTCTATAATATCTGTAACCCTGATGTGGCTTAGAACTAGAAACAGGATTCTGTGTTTCTAGCAGTGACCTAGTTTTGTGGCTTGCCTGTG